CAAAACACTTTCCAGCAGCATTTTGAAAGGCTTTTTTTTTCAATTTGGAAAAAACAGTAAAAAGGTACTTTGGGCTAAGGCCCCATACCTTCTGCCGCCTAGGGCCCGGTAGAGCCTTGAACCGGTGCTGTATGAGTTGTTTGAATGCGGGTGAGTGGTGATCAATAATGACAAACACTATCCTAAACTAAGTAGGGCCTGGCTTGGGACAAGGTACGAAGGTAAAAAATAGGGCCATGTGGAAAATCAAGGCACCCCTAGTCGTAATACTCAATTACCTACATAACATGCCCACCTGCACTTGGAAATCTTTGGTATAGTTTTTCCACAGTTAATTGGAACAAGGTGAACATAAATTATAACTGGTGGCTGACTAGTGGCAGTGCATTTCTCATGGAAATTTTCAGTGACTAGTCAGCCACCAATTGGTACCTTGTTCCAATTGAGTTTGGAAATACTATATCAAAAAAGTTGGTAATATTGTTAGCGGGAGTATTCATCTAGTTCTGTTGGACGAAACATTTTGAAAAAACAAAGCAGAAGTATTTAGGAAATTTAAAAAATTATGCGATCTCATGATGGATGTGTAGAGAGTTGAAACATTATGTGTGAGCCTACACATTGACTGTGCACTAAACTTTCCTATTTATGCTATCAGGAGTTTATTTTCATTTCTCAGGAGTTTTTCAAAGTTCAGCTTATTTCTTTATTAGAAGTAGTTTTATTTTTAGAAATTCGTGAAAAGTTGCTGCTTGATATCTCAGAGGCTATACAAGGATTTTGCACGGGCAAATAGAGAATTTAATACTCTTTCCAGTGATGTATAATTATGGGCTATTTTCTCAAACTTCATACAAGACATGGGCAACACCCATCTCCATGTCTTCACTGTCTCTTATTGTCTTCCTGATGTTCGGCAGGCTGTATTCCAGGTCAGTTTTAATTTTTATGCGTCCCAATCACCTAATAAATACTCACTGACAGCTCGTAGTTTAGGAGTACAGGGGAATAACAAAATATACATGAACCCTGAATTCACAAAAAGGAATCTCCAACTTTATAAGGCTGCTCAATCTGCAAATGGATACAAATACTTATGGATAAGAAGAGGAAATATTTTAATGACAAAAGAGGAAAATTCAAAGGTTGTTCTCATTGAGAAAGAGGGCGATCTAAAAAACTAGATAAAGGTGAGAAACAGAATAGACTAAACATATATTATATAAATGCTAGAAGTATAAGAAATCAGTGGGACGAGGTTCAATGTTTTGTGATAAACTATGGTTGTAATGTATTAGTTATAGCAGAAACTTGGCTTTTAGACTGGAGAAATTGGAATTTTTGAGCTTGATGGATACCTATTACCATATTCTTATAGAAAACAAATTGGGGGAGGTGCCTCATTGTATGTGAAGGATAGTATAAAATATAAGAAAAGATAAATTCAAGAGAATGATGAACACATTGATTCATGTGGACAGTGAATTCAACGTCATCAAAGATATGAGCATATCATTGAAAAATATCAGAGCCAAAAATGAAATTTCCTTTTGAATTTTTTTTCTTATCGAATTTTCGAAAATCTCATTGATGTTAGAAATGTTTCTGACTAATTTGAACTCGCTCTATCTATTTAAAAAGTCAAAATTGAGAAAAATCCAAAAATAAAAATTTTCAATTTTTTGCTCTATTTCTCCCCTTTGGATTTTTATTTACAAATCTCCAAACTTCAGTATCTCAATAACCAATAGCGGTATTGAGATAACATTTTCAGTAATTGTAGCTTTTGATAAGGGCTTTCAGATGGTGTTTGACTGAAATCGCTAGCATTGATGGTTTTTGAGAAAATCAAATTTGAAGTTTTGAACAAAATGTCGACTAAATTTCTACTTTGAGGCTCTATAATTTGGAAACTTCACAAGTTAAAAAAAACTAAATTTGCACAGCTTATAGAGAATTTAATTCTCTTTTCAATGATGTATAATTGTATGCAGTTTTCTCAAATGTCATCATAGATATGATCCATTATTCATGAGCATGTCAAGATTTCAAAAAATGTCTAGAGCCAAAAATGAGATTTCTTTTTGGATTTTTTTTCTATTCGAATTTTTGGAAATCTAATTGATGTTAGACTTGTTTCTGACTAATTTGGACTCGCTCTATCCATTTAAAAAGTCAAAATTGAGAAAAATTCAAAAATAAAAATTTTCAATTTTTTGCTCTATTTCTTAAGGGTAACCCCTTTGGATTTTTATTTACAAATCTCCAAACTTCAGTATCTAAATAATCAATGGCGGTATTGAGATAACATTTTCAGTGATTGTAGCTTTTGATAAGGGCTTTCAGATGGTGTTTGACTGAAATCGCTAGCATTAATGGTTTTTGAGAAAATCGAATTTGAAGTTTTGGACAAAATGTCGACTAAATTTCTACTTTGAAGCTATATAATTTGGAAACTTCACAAATTACAAAAACCAAATTTGCACAGCTTATAGAAAATTTAATTCTCTTTCCAATGATGTATAATTGTATGCAGTTTTCTCGAATGTCATCATAGATATGATCCATTATTCATGAGCATGTCAAGATTTCAAAAAATGTCTAGAGCCGAAAATGAGATTTCTTTTTGGATTTTTTTTCTAATCGAGTTTTTGGAAATCTAATTGATGTTAGACTTGTTTCTGACTAATTTGGACTCGCTCTATCCATTTAAAAAGTGAAAATTGAGAAAAATCCGAAAATAAAAATTTTCTATTTTTTGCTCTATTTCTTAAGGGTAACCCCTTTGGATTTTTATTTACGAATCTCCAAACTGCAGTATCTCAATAACCGATAGCGGTACTGAGATAAGATTTTCAGTGATTGTAGCTTTTGATAAGGGCTTTCAGATGGTGTTTGACTGAAATCGCTAGCATTAATGGTTTTTGAGAAAATCGAATTTGAAGTTTTGAACAAAATGTCGACTAAATTTCTACTTTGAGGCTCTATAATTTGGAAACTTCACAAGTTACAAAAACCAAATTTGCACAGCTTATAGAGAATTTAATTCTCTTTCCAATGATGTATAATTATCGGCAGTTTTCTCAAATGTCATCAAAGATATGATCCATTATTCATGAGCATGTCAAGATTTCAAAAAATGTCTAGAGCCAAAAATGAGATTTCTTTTTGGATTTTTTTTTCTCATCGAATTTTTGGAAATCTAATTGATGTTAGACTTGTTTCTGACTAATTTGGACTCGCTCTATCCATTTAAAAAGTGAAAATTGAGAAAAATCCGAAAATAAAAATTTTCTATTTTTGGCTCTATTTCTTAAGGGTAACCCCTTTGGATTTTTATTTACAAATCTCCAAACTGCAGTATCTCAATAACCAATAGCGGTATTGAGATAACATTTTCAGTGATTGTAGCTTTTGATAAGGGCTTTCAAATAGTGTTTGACTGAAATCGCTAGCATTAATGGTTTTTGAGAAAATCGAATTTGAAGTTTTAGACAAAATGTCGACTAAATTTCTACTTTGAGGCTCTATAATTTGGAAACTTCACAAGTTACAAAAACCAAATTTGCACAGCTTATAGAGAATTTAATTCTCTTTCCAATGATGTATAATTATCGGCAGTTTTCTCAAATGTCATCATAGATATGATCCATTATTCATGAGCATGTCAAGATTTCAAAAAATGTCTAGAGCCAAAAATGAGATTTCTTTTTGGATTTTTTTTCTCATCGAATTTTTGGAAATCTAATTGACGTTAGACTTGTTTCTGACCAATTTGGACTCGTTCTATCCATTTAAAAAGTCAAAATTGGGAAAAATTCAAAAATAAAAATTTTCTATTTTTTGCTCTATTTCTTAAGGCTTGGATTTTTATTTACGAATCTCCAAACTGCAGTATCTTAATAACCAATAGCGGTATTGAGATAAAATTTTCAGTGATTGTAGCTTTTGATAAGGACTTTCAGATGGTGTTTGACTGAAATCGCTAGCATTAATGGTTTTTGAGAAAATCGAATTTGAAGTTTTAGACAAAATGTCGACTAAATTTCTACTTTGAGGCTCTATAATTTGGAAACTTCACAAGTTACAAAAACCAAATTTGCACAGCTTATAAAAAATTTAATTCTCTTTCCAATGATGTATAATTATAGGCAGTTTTCTCAAATGTCATCAAATACATTATTCATGAGCATGTCAAGATTTCAAAAAATGTTTAGAGCCAAAAATGAAATTTCTTTTTGGATTTTTTTTCTCATCGAATTTTTTGAAATCTAATTGACGTTAGACTTGTTTCTGACTAATTTGGACTCGATTTCCAGTATTTGTAACTCCTGATAAGGGCTTCAAAATGGTATTTGGTTGAAATCACTAGCATTTACAGTTTTTGAGAAAATAGAATTTGAAGTTTTGGAAAAAAATTTCGACTAAATTTCAACTTTGGAGCTCTATATAAACCAATTTTGCACAGAATTTAGAGAATGTGATACTCTTTCCAATAACCCATGATTGTAGGCAGTTTACTGAATGAAAAAAATTAAATGTAGATCTAGATCCACCTAATTAATATAATACCTACAATGTATCAATCCAATAACAAATTGAACAATTTAAATACCAATTTCCTGCAGATGCTGCTATTAACATTTTATTGAAACACTTACTCAATGTACATATATACAATTGGGTTGAATATACATATACATTTGATTATATAATTAAATTTCTATTTGAATACACTTTACATTAGTCTGACTTAAACAAGGCATAACAAAACAATTCCGAAACACTCTAAATGATTCCCTTCTTTCTCAAACACAATTAACTTTATCTCTGCGGCTGCATTTGCATTTTTACCTCTTTTTTTGTCGCTCGATTGCGACAGGGCGAGAAAAATTATTTTCCTCTACCCTTTAGGAAATGGAAATTCCGCGTCGCAAAGCCCCTAATGGCTAATTAAATTGTCGAGGGTCTACAATTGACGTCAGAGCAGAGAGCAGAGAGCTTAAAATTCTAGTTGTTTAAACAAAATCGCCTTTTACTATGTAAAAATATTTATTGGCAAATAGTCAATTGCGCAAAATTGTAGTGCATCAATGAAAGTAGATTTATTCACCGTATTTGGCTCCATATATTGCATCAACAATTCATTTTATGTGCATCCAACCAAATGCCACCCTTTACTGATAAAATTGGTGCAGTAGGGTCAAACTCAGGTGGATACGAGGTTTTCTGGTTCAAAGTAAACTTGAAATTGTTGATGAGTGAGGCAAGCGCTGTTTTGGTTTGCATTAGTCCAAATCTTAAACCTATAAAAAATTGATTGATTAATAAGTATTATTTTACTTAAACAATTTTTACCTAAACATTGTCGTGGTCCTTCTCCAAAAGGCAAATAAGTTCCACTTAAGATTTTGTGTTTGTTTTCACTATTGAATCTTTCTGGTTTGAATTTTTGAGGTTCTGGGAAAAAGTCTGGATCGTTTTGCAGGCCTAGCAAAGGAATATCGATCATTGTGCCTTCATCCAAAACAATATCAGTGCCTGGAATGTTGTAGCTTTTTGTACAGACTCTTGGTAAATTGGACAAAGGTGGATATTTTCTTAGAGTTTCCGAAACTACATTGTCCAAATAAGTCATTTCGTTTAAGGATTCATATGATAGAATATTGGTTTTTAGGATTTCTCTGATTTCGGTGCGTAGTTTGTCTTGGATGTTTTGGTTTTGAGCCAGTTCCAAAAGGGCGTAGGAAGTTGTTGTGGATGATGTTTCGAAGCCGGCAGTGAAAAAGAGCATGCATTGGCCGGCAAGATCTTCCATTGACATCATTGATTCTGGAATTATCAAGTGGATTGAGTGAAAACAAAAATAAAAAGATAGATTTTTAGCTCTAGAGAGTTTCAAAATCTTGATATGGTCATGAACAATTGCCCATTTCTTTGGTAAATTTTGAGCAAATTAAATTAAATTAGATATCATTGGAAAGAACATTAAATTCTCTATAAATCAGTGTAAAATTGAGTTTGATAGCTCAAATAGTTTTGGAGCAATTGAGCCTCAAAGTTGACTTTTAGTCCAAATTTACAAAAATACCATGTCTTATTAATGAAGTCACAAGTTTTATTACGAGTTGAAGTCTATGTAGCGCTGATTTATATCATAAAGTTTCCAGTAATACATGCTAAATCTTCAGTATCTATCAATAGAAATTGCAGGTATATTTTTAAGAATGTCAGGATGACTTGACTTTTATTGCAGGATGAAGTTATCTTAAGCTCTTGATGGAATTAATATAAGCAAAGTAAAGTAAAGACTCATAACTTACCTCACATACGAAGTTCTAACTACTTCATAATAAAGAAGATGCAGTTATATTTACAGCTGAGTTTTTTCAGTGTAACGTTGCTCAGAATCTCAGAAGACAAGATCTGATAGCTAGTAACCAGCAACAGTTTTTAATAAAGTTTTCACGTAGTGCAGGTGTATTACTTACAAATTACAAAGTTTTCTGGGAAAATTACTTTTCTTTTGTAAGTAACATTCGTCAATTGAGTAAATTGTTGGTGGTATTTCATAATATGTAAGTTTCGAGCTATATGTTCGGTACTTCCTTCTTGATAGCCAACAAGGAAAGTGGCATGTAATGTTCTTCGTCCATCTGGTGTATCTTCGCTAAAGTCTAAATTGTCAGCAGCAAAATGGACAAATTTATCTCGATAGAACTCTGGAGGAACATATACTCCATCATTATCAGATATTGCCTTTGAAATTGTCTTGGACATATTGCTTTCTGCGTTCAAAACTTTCGTGTAATCAACAGATAATCCAAGTTTTGCTAGACTATTTACTGCGGGTCTTTTCATGTATAGCCAAACTTATACCCATTTGCAACGGAAGTTCTTTGTATTATCACCTAATTTTGATTGGCACTCAGTGAGACATTCAAACAATGAAATTTGTAAAAGCCTATTTACACAATTATCTATTATATAGACTGTCTTTTAGAGGTGAAGGTAATTTGCTCAGATCCACACAAGAACAATTTCAAAAACTCAAGTTCCTCAGGTTTCAGTCAATATTGGTTGTCATATCTAGTGAACATTTGGAGAAAGATGGATAAGGAGAACTGGTCCTATAGGATGGACCCCTTACTTTCCTGACTTGAGAGTTCCAGAATTTTTTCTCTGGGATAAAGTCAAGGAAAGATGGGGTCGATGATGTTATTTCTGAAACATTTCGAGTGTTTATCAAGACTGTGGTACTAAATGAGAAGCGCAGGAATCTTGAGGCATAGAAAAAAAAAATCGGTAGCAATTGCACATACCTTGATTAGTGCAGTGTGACCAACATTTTAACTTTCTCCTCTTCAAGTAGAACTGGTAGATTGATGTCCTGTCATCCCTTGGATTTTGTGCAACATACAATGAAGTAACTCGATTTGAAATTTCGTCAATAATGCTCCCCCCTCTGTCTATGAAGCAGCAAGCCTTTTGCCAAATGGTATACGATAATGCTTATTTCAACATCCAAACATTTGATGGAAGAAATACTTTTCATACAGCATTCGATGTATCACCCCAAAGAATGCTGTTGCTCCTGGCCAAAATATTAATCACTGTACCACCAGCAGAAGTTGTGGGGAGCTTGGGAACTGTGACACTACAACACTTTGAGAGAAATGATGCTCTGGGCTTAGCCAAAACTCAGATAAATAATTCAGGAACAGCGTTGCCTCACAATGATACAATTGTCCCATCACTGCCACTGTTGGTGTGGCTTTACAGTAAACACAAAGACATTGCAGGAGTTGACGCATGGAATGGTTTCATGACGGAGGTGACCAGAGACATACCCTACGAAACAACTTTTATTGACTGTCAGCCTTTCATCAATGCATTTCCAAGTGATTTCGACACTATACATCACTGTTGACCGCAGTCCAGAATACTTAGTCATGCTGTCCTGGACAAAAAACAACAATTGTTAGCTGATGATCATCATACATACCTTAAGGCGTGAGATATCGTTGCATGTCGTGAGGGAGACCTTGAGTTAGGTGGCATGATCGTAGGACTTGGAGAGTTCCACTTACTTATGTCGTTCATGGGGGCAGTGGTCTATATAATGGAAGGGTCTAACTGAACTGTTCAATACTGTGTATGCAGTTAACAGTACTGAGAAAATCATGACAAGACACGCTCACGCTAGGGCTGTCAGAGGAAACACTCTAGCACTTACAGCCCTGGGTAAAATGATAATGGATTCCATGAATTTCCCCTCCTCGTTTCACTTTGACGTTGAACAGGTTCTGTATGGTATATATTTAAGTGACCTGCTCAATGCACACGAAGAAGGATGGGGGAAGGAAATTAAACAATTGTTTAAAGCCCAGCTCCAACATGAGCCCACTGCAAAGTTGTGGGTCCAATATTTTGAAATAATAAATTTGGTTTTGCAGTTCATTGAAGCTAAAAGGATGGGCAACTGGAAACGCTACCTCTACGCCACATATACTTGCAAGACATGCTAGCATTGGAACACTTCATGCCGCCAGAAGAATTTCAAAAATTTACTACGCAAGGAGTGAGACATATGTTGATGCGGAACCTGCAGCGATATGTGCATTGAACAGTTTATGAAAAATATGAAGGTTGAAGAGGGACTGACTAGAGTTCGCGAATTCAGCGAGGGCATCTTGGCAAAATGGATCCTAAGGATTACTTCGTTCCAGAATGTTTCTAACGAGATCGAAGACTTCTGCGGGGTAAATTTTGGAACCAGCACACCGATAGCCGTGATGAAAGACTATACCTTGAGCTTTCAAGTTTAGCAGTAACAAGGTTAGGGAGGTTATTCCACGCAAAATTCTATGCTCTTTAACTTTGAATACTATGACATTTTCCGGACGATGCGTCGTTTGTAAGATATGACTAGAAAATCGGGAAAAGTTCAAAAATTTCGAGGTTTTTCGCAATTTTCGGCCTGAGCTGGTTCTGCTACGAGGCAGCAAACTTCAAATTCGTATTCAGCACCCTATAGAAAACATATAATTCCGTTGAAAAACCTTTTAGGTTCTTATCGCTTTCATGTTACCAAAAAAATACCATTTGATTGAACTATTACCTATGAACGGTTTCAAGGATTAATTTGCAATTTAGCGAGGAGTGAAAGGAAGGTTTGGGACATGTTTAAGTAAATTTTCAAGTTGTTTGAGTGAAAACTTTGAAAAATACAGCCTGAAGTAGTTTGATTATCAAGGGAATTTTTCAATAATCCAGTCACAAGGATGTAAATGATTTTTTTTCTCATGAACTGTCCTAAGTATCAATTTGCAATTTAGTGAGGAGTGAAAGGAAGGGTTGAAGCATGTTTTAGTAAATTTTCAAGTTGTTTGAGTGAAAACTTTAAAAAATACAGCCTAAGGTAGTTTGATTATTAAGGGAATTTTTCAATATTCCAGACACAAGGATGTAAGTGATTTTTTTACTCATGAACTGTTCCAAGTATCGATTTGTAATTTAGTGAGGAGTGAAAGGAAGGTTTGAAGCATGTTTTACTAAATTTTCAAGTTGTTTGAGTGAAAACTTTAAAAAATACAGCCTAAGGTAGTTTGATTATTAAGGGAATTTTTCAATAATCTAGACACAAGGATGTAAATGATTTTTTTTCTCATGAACTGTTCCAAGTATCAATTTACAATTTGGAAAGGAGTGAAAGGAAGGTTTGAAACATGTTTTAGTAAATTTTCAAGTTGTTTGAGTGAAAACTTTAAAAAATACAGCCTGAAGTAGTTTGATTGTCAAGGGAATTTTTCAATAATCCAGACACAAGGATGTAAGTGATTTTTTTACTCATGAACTGTTCCAAGTATCAATTTGCAATTTAGTGAGGAGTGAAAGGAAGGTTTGAAGCATGTTTTAGTAAATTTTCAAGTTTTTTCAGTGAAAACTTTGAAAAATACAGCCTGAAGTAGTTTGATTGTCAAGGGAATTTTTCAATAATCTAGACACAAGGATGTAAGTGACTTTTTAACACATGAACTGTTCTAAGTATTAATTTGCAATTTAGTGAGGAGTGAAAGGAAGGTTTGGAGCATGTTTTGGTAAATTTTCAAGTTTTTTGAGTGAAAACTTTGAAAAATACAGCCTGAAGTAATTTGATTGTCAAGGGAATTTTTCAATAATCCAGACACAAGGATGTAAGTGATTTTTTTACTCATGAACTGTTCCAAGTATCAATTTGCAATTTAGTGAGGAGTGAAAGGAAGGTTTGAAGCATGTTTTAGTAAATTTTCAAGTTTTTTGAGTGAAAACTTTGAAAAATACAGCCTGAAGTATTTTAATTGTCAAGGGAATTTTTCAATAATCCAGACACAAGGATGTAAGTGATTTTTTTACTCATGAACTGTTCCAAGTATCAATTTGCAATTTAGTGAGGAGTGAAAGAAAGGTTTGAAGCATGTTTTAGTAAATTTTCAAGTTGATTGAGTGAAAACTTTGAAAAATACAGCCTGAAGTAGTTTGATTATCAAGGGAATTTTTCAATAATCCAGACACAAGGATGTAAGTGATTTTTTTTCTCTTGAACTATTCCAAGTATCAATTTGCAATTTGGAGAGGAGTGAAAGGAAGGTTTGAAGCATATTTGAGTAAATTTTCAAGTTGTTTGAGTGAAAACTTTAAAAAATACAGCCTGAAGTAGTTTGATTATTAAGGAAATTTTCTAATATTCCAGACATAAGGATGTAAATGATTTTTTTTCTCATGAACTGTTCTAAGTATTAATTTGCAATTTAGTGAGGAGTGAAAGGAAGGTTTAAAGCATGTTATGGTAAATTTTCAAGTTGATTGAGTGAATACTTTGAAAAATACAGCCTGAAATAGTTTGATGAGGAATTTTTCAAAAATTCAGACACAAGGATGTAAATGATTTTTTCACTCATGAACTGTTTCAAGTATTGATTTGCAATTTAGTGAGGAGTAAAAGGAAGGTTTGAAGTATGTTTTAGTGAATTTTCAAGCTGATTGAGTGAAAACTTAAAAAAATACACTTTGAAATAGTTTGATGAGTAAGGGACACATGCATGTAGGTATGATAATTTCTATCAACATCATTCAAACTCACCTTTATCTTCAGCCTTCTTTAAAACATCCTTCTCATTAACCAAATCAGTAATAGAACCTTGATTCTTCAATTGTATCATCAAATGCAAAAAGTCCTTCCTAACAACGTTATTTGTTTCCCTGTACTTTACTGCATCAAAAACGATATTCCTATAACAGCAACTCATTCACTTGACAATGTAAAATAATATTTTTCCATTTACCTGAAGAAATCTTCAAGATCTGCTATATCCAATATACCTCTTCTTCGATTGCCAATTCCCAAGGCAATTAATAAAAGCTTAAACAAAGTTGGAGGCTTTTTGGGAAGCAATCGCTTAAACAAGTTTTGCCCAGTTTGGAAAAACTCTGAATCAATGTTTTTTAGGGAGTCGCACTCAATGCCAAAGCCAATATTTGCTTCAAGTATATAAAAATAATCATCATATATACTCCTGGACAAAATTATCGCACCACTGCACATAAGCATCACCATAAGCAGTGGTGCAATAATTTTGTCCAGGAGTATAGTATATAATATAATACATACCAATAACATCTGTAGTATATCTAGCAATTAACTCTTTAATTTCAGCAGGTTTTTGGATTTGTGCCATTTCATCAACCAAATCACTAAGGCCGTTGGTTTTTTGCAACAAAATTTCAAACATCATTTTCATTTTCCCTGAGGTAAAAGTGGGTGTTAGTTTTCTTCTTGTGTCCCTCCACTGGTCTCCACTCATATGGAAAATGTTGTTAAACAACAAGCTTGTTGAAAACTTAGGCAAGTGGGCTTGGAAATGTTGAAAATCACTTGTCACTATTGATTTTATCAATTCTGGGTCGATTGGTAACCATTTAGGGGCACCAAAATAGTATATACCTATATGGAAATAACTATTATATACTTGCAATTTATGTTGAACATCTTCAAACCTCCATGTTTTGCACCCATTTGCTTGAATTTAAAGTATAATTCGGCTTCATTTTCAGCTGAGCTTTGTTTTTGTAAAATATATTGGGTCAAGTTGCCATAAATTAGGTGAGGAGGCAATTGGGGCACTCCTTTATTCTTCCAATAGGAAAACTTCTTTTGCTTTTCATTGTAAATGTAGTAAAACAAGGCAATGGCTACAAGTACTAGTGCAAAGACAATCATCTTATTTCAACTGATGTAAATGTTTTGATGGTTATTTTATAATTAGATAATAAGCAACCTTGAATGTTATCTCTGGTTTTGACAATGCTTGCTTTGTGAATTATACATATTCAATTATAGTTTCATATAGTCAGAGTTCATTAATTTATATCAAGCAACAATTCAATTCAAATTATTTTGGTGGAAATACATTTTTGATACGAGCCAATGAGCTTTGTGTTTGTTTAATTATATTTCGAACTGTTTTATTCTTTGCCTCATATACTTGGTCCATTGTTAGTTCGACAATTAGCTTCCTAGAATGTGACCTCGCAAAGGATTTTTTTTCGCAAATGATGTATTAGAAGCAGGAAGTCACGAAAATAAGTCAACAACCGCTAAAACGTGTGTAGAACAAACGACATGTTTCGGTGTTGTAATTATGACCGGTTTAAGTATGTATTTCTTTGGTTTTTGTATAACAAAGTCCTGAATCTTAAGTTAATATTTTGCAAATTTCTTCGATTTTATGCCAAAGTGTGTGTAGACGTGAGAGTGAGTATTGATGAAGAAATCAGCTCAAAATCTATTGATTTTCATTAAAATATTAATCAGAATTGGTTGCTATGAACTGAGATACGATGCTTGAAAATTTTCTCATGGCAAATGTAAGATTTCAGTCGTCACTCTCCTTAAAATGCTTATAACTCTTAAACTATGCAAATTGGCGAGTTGCCGTTTGTTTTAAATTGAAAATTAGCTCAAAATCTATTGATTTGCATCAAAATATTGATTAGAATTTATTGTCATGATCTGAGATACGAGGCTTGAAAATTGTCTCATGGCAAATATAAGATTTCAGTCGTCACTCTCCTTAAAATGGCCATAACTCTCAAACTATGGAAATTAGCGAGTTGCGGTTGGTTTTAAATTGAAAATTAGCTCAAAATCTATTGATTTGTATCAAAATATTAATTAGAAATTGTTGCCATGATTCGAGATACAAGGCTTGAAAATTGTCTCATGGCAAATATAAGATTTCAGTCGTCACTCTCCTTAAAATTCCCATAACTCTCAAACTATGGAAATTAGCGAGTTGCGGTTTGTTTTAAATTAAAAATTAGCTCAAAATCTATTGATTTGCATCAAAATATTGATTAGAATTTGTTGCCATGATCTGAGATACGAGGCTTGAAAATTGTCTCATGGCAAATGTGAAATTTCAGTCACCACTCTCCTCAAAATGGTCATAACTCTTAAACGATTCAAATTAGCGAGTTGCGGTATATTTTAAATTGAAAATTAGCTCAAAATCTATTGATTTATATGAAAATATTAATTAGAAATTGTTGCCATGATCTGAGATACCAGGCTTGAAGATTGTCTCATGGCAAATGTAAGATTTCAGTCGTCACTCTCCTTAAAATGCCCATAACTCTTGAACTATTAAAATTAGGGAGATGCGGTTTGTTTTAAATTAAAAATCAGCTCAAAATCTATTGATTTGCATCAAAATATTAATTAGAATTTGTTGCCATGATCTGAGATACGAGGCTTGAAAATTGTCTCATGGCAAATGTAAGATTTCAGTCGTCACTCTCCTTAAAATGCTTATAACTCTTAAACTATGCAAATAAGCGAGTTGCGGTTTGTTTTAAATTAAAAATTAGCTCAAAATCTATCGATTTGCATCAAAATATTGATTAGAATTTGTTGCCATGGTCTGAGATACGGGGCTTGAAAATTGTCTCATGGCAAATGTAAAATTTCAGTCACCACTCTCCTCAAAATGGCCATAACTCTTAAACGATTCAAATTAGCGAGTTGCGATTCATTTTGAATTGAAAATTAGCTCAAAATCTATTGATTTATATGAAAATATTAATTAGAAATTGTTGCCATGGTCTGAAATACCAGGCTTGAAGATTGTTTCATGGCAAATGTAAGATTTCAGTCGTCACTCTCCTTAAAATGCCCATAACTCTTGAACTATTAAAATTAGGGAGTTGCGGTTTGTTTTAAATTGAAAATCAGCTCAAAATCTATTGATTTACTTCAAAATATTAATTAGAATTTGTTGCCATGATCTGAGATACGAGGCTTGAAAATTGTCTCATGGCAAATGTGAAATTTCAGTCACCACTCTCCTCAAAATGGCCATAACTCTTAAACGATTCAAATTAGCGAGTTGCGGTTTATTTTAAATTGAAAATTAGCTCAAAATCTATTGATTTATATGAAAATATTAATTAGAAATTGTTGCCATGATCTGAGATACCAGGCTTGAAGATTGTTTCATGGCAAATGTAAGATTTCAGTCGTCACTCTCCTCAAAATGGCCATAACTCTTAATCTATTAAAATTAGCGAGTTGCTGTTTGTTTTATATTAAAAATCAGCTCAAAATCTATTGACTTACATTAACATATTACTTAGAATTTGTTGTCATGATTTGAGATACAAGGCTTGAAAGTTTTCTAGTGATAAATGTCAGATTGCAGTCGTCACTCTTCTTAAAATGATCATAACTTCTAAACGATTGAAATCAGCCAATTGCGGTCTGTTTTAAATTGAAAATCAGTTCAAATTCTTACAACACCTCATTGTAGATAAGAAGGACCAAGGGCAAAAATCCATCCCATACGTCACTGACCTGGGGGGGCCTCCTAGCAGGATTTCTGCCGCTGCATGCCGATCCGCCATTCGCTTTTTAGTCGAAACCTATTCTTAACCGGTGCCGGTTCTCCTGCCGTTGCACGTCAAAAAAGTTTTCGCACACACACACTCAAGCAAAACCGTACTTTGAAGGTACTACTTTCACTATATATGTTGTTACGTAAAGAAACCATGCCGGTTTGATAACAATATACCAAAGTGAGATAGATGACCCAGTGGTTTATTTGAATTTTTGTGCTTATACTATAAATTTTCTTTGGAACATAATATTTTTTGCATGCAAGGAGTAGGGCAACAAATTTAAGGTAAATATGAGCAAAATAATATCGTGTGGGATTCACACAGGAGAGGTACCCAAACGGCCATCTTGAAAAAGGGTAGGGGGTATGAACTTCAGCATTTTGATTCCTATATCAACTACTTGTTGTTTTACATGTTATGTCAACAAACCCTTATGGATATATATATGTAGTTATAAAGCAATTTGTGGGTCTATATGGTTGATCTTCAAGAAGATTATTAATTCCATGGCCATCTTGATGTAAAGAACAACAACAATCACTTTTCAATATTAAAAACAATCAACATGATGATTTTGCTGAACTCAATCTGGCTGATAATTGGAACAATTGTTAAGTAATTGTCTATATGGAAAAAAACGAAATTGCAAACCTTGGTGGTTTGTCTGACCCAGTTTAACCTGATTAGTTTTTCGTATATAGTTTGTTTTTATCAATTAGGAAATGTTTATATAATAATACCTATAAGTATATATTAGCAATAATTTGAATTTTAAGTATGTTGGATACATTACATGATTACAATCCAACAAATATAATTATATATAAAAAAATTAACCACTCTGTATATATTATTAATAATAACTTTGTGTCTTTATTTCAGGTAAGTTCTTCTCCTGTAGCTTTTAAATCTTGTCCTGGGGTAAGTACATTTCAGAAACCAATTATCGTTAATTACTCGGGGCCAAATCTCTTGGAAATTTATCTATTCCACCTTTATTTGCCCGCAATCGATTTTCGTTGCGTCTATTTGTTTTTGGGAGGTGGAGGGCAAACAACTGCGGATCCCATTATTCCTGAGAACTGATTTTCCTGATATCGATCATACCAGAGAAAATATATATATTTAGAATCTTTGGGTTTGTTATTCATATTACACAAATATGCATACAATGTTTATTTTACATTTTCCAAAAGATATATTTTTCCTTATGGCTTATGTAAATATACAACAGAGGAAACTATGGAAAATTGGGTTTGTTTGCAGTATAACAGAGCGTCTCTGGATTATATATGACAATGATATATGTGTATATCATAACTAGATTTTAATACCAAGAACCAACCAAATTCTGATTGATTCCGCATAATAAAGATTTTGTAACTTTGTGTATACGTTTGTTTGAAAACTTTTAAATAAGAAAAGTTTTCCCATTGGAAAATAATAAAGCTCGAATGTGGGGCTTTGAGGCTTGGTTTTATTTTATAATAAGGACTTGAACAAAAAGGTAATATAAAGCCTCTTACGTAAAGAGTTGTTTACGAGGCAATATGGTATTATTATACGTATATATGGAAATGTTATGAGATTCCAGAGGAGTTTTAAATGAAGCTTTTTGCAATTTGGTTTCTTCTTCAAGTTTTTCGTATTGTTTTCTAGAGAGTCATTTACGGTTTTTGAGAAAAGCGAGTTTGAAGTTTTGGACTAGTAAATTTCAACTTTGAAGCTCGATTTCTTAGAAATTATAGAAGTTAGAGAAACCAATTTTGCACGGCTTAATAAAGAATTTAATACTATTTCCAATGATGTATAATTATAGACAATTTTCTCAAATGTCAGTGAAGATATTAGCAATTATTCATGAGCGTGTCATGATTTCAGAGCCTTTTCGATTTTTTTTCTAATTGAAATTTCCAAATTTGACTGATGTTAGAGTTGTTTCTGACTAATTTGGACCCGCTCTATCGATTTAGAGAGTCAAAATTAAGAAAAATAATTCAAAAATAAAAATTTTCAATTTTTTGCTTTTTACCTAAGGGTATTTCATTTGCAAATCTTCAAATTTGAATATCTCGATAAATAAAAGGGGTATTGGGACAAAATTTTCAATAGTTGTAGCTCTTGATAAGGGCTTTTAGATGGTATTTAGCTGAAACTGCTAGCGTTTATAGTTTTTGAGAAAATCAAGTTTATAGTTTTGGACAAAATAATGACTAAGTTTCAACTTTGGAGGCCAATATCTCGGAAACCTCAAAAGTTACAAAAACCAATTTTACACAGTCTAATAGAGAATTTAATGCTCCTTCCAATGATGTATAACTGTATATGATTTACTCAAATT